ATTCATCAAGTTATATTGAACGAGAATTTACACCAGGATGATATGATAATGATAAATGAACAATTCGAAATAATTCTATTATAAATAATTATAATTAGTTAAAAAATTATTGGTGTTTAAAAAAAATCACAAAATTTTTTTGGGATATTTTAGAAGTTATATGTGAGAAGGAGAATTTGTAGATGCAAGAAATATTGAATTAAATAATTTTTAATACTGCATGAAGAAGAAGCATTTAAAGAATTGAATTCAATGGTAATTATGAAAATGTTCAAAAAAAACAAAAAAAAAAAGAAAGATCTGTATAATTATTCTTTTAATTTAAATACATGTTTTCTTAAAAAAAAAAAAAAAAAAGAAAATGCTAGAAAAAGAGAAACAAAAATAAACGTTGATAACGTGCTGGCAAAAAGGTTTGTGTCCCTTTCGAGGATGTTCCTGAGCATGATTTAAGCATCGTTGACAAAAATATCGCTTCTGATCATCTTCATTTACTGGTTGTGGACGAGGTGTAAAAGCAACAACATCAACTTCTTCCGGTGTGCTACACGATGAGTAACCACCAGAAGTACTATTTCGGCTACTTCCGGGTGATGTACCTGAAATTATAGCAATGGAAATTGTTATAAAATGATTTCGAATATATAAATAGTATCATCTTCATTTCGAGTGATATTCGAGTAAATTACAATAGGAATACTTGTAAAATTTAAGTCCATTAATTTGATTAACATGTTAAACAAATAGAAAAACTATATAAAACCATTAATTTCTAAAATTATTGTTTTAAGATGTACATTTGAAATACAAGAGAGAAGACATCACTTATTTCGAATTAAGTCAATCGTTACAGAATAATGCTTTGTGTGTAGAGTTTTGTGTTAACAAATCAACAAAATGTTCATACGGAAAAAAATTTACAGGTAGCCATAAATTCAGTTGAATTCAAAAAAAAAAAAATCCAATTTGCATTCATTTTGATTTTATTTTTTACTTGTAATTTCAAGTGGTAACAAAGGTAATAATGTTCAAATTTTCTGTCATCACTTTAGTTATGATACCTTTTTCAGCTACAAACAAAAGCAAACAAGGATGAAAGAGGAACGTCATCGAACAGGTACATCAAGTGCTCCATCCCTTCGGTTTAGATGCTTTGTTCGATTTTATTTAAAAAAAAAAAAAACTTTTTTCCTGATAGCTCAAACGATCGCTACAATTGAAATTCGTTTCATTTCAGTTTATTCAGCTATTGAATATTTCTCGTTAGTGTTTTCAATCTATACAATAGGACTAAGAAAAAAATTTGAAATGAAATAAATAATTCAAAAATATTGCAAATAATTGAGATATATAATACCCTGCAAATATGTATATCTTTCCTTTTATCAGCTATCATTGAAATAAATAGACAAAATTTTTCGTACTTTTATTAAATTTGATCAAACTATACTTTTCTTATTTCAGTTTCATTATTTGTTTGATCGAGAATGATAAGTTGAAATGATAATGCCAAGCGTAATTTTATATTTCTGTGCAATAAAAATGTATGTAGCAAAATCTTTCAGAGTCTTTTTTTTGGTGGTCATAGCAACGGGTAAAATAGACCTGACAAAGGAACCGCCATTGAAAAAAATGAAATCTGTTGTGACAGATGTAAATCAACTTCGTCTAGAAATTGGCTGATCATAAATTCTCGACACAATGTCCTGTTGATATTTATGGATCACCTTATTTAACTGGAGAAAGGAAAAGCCTTCCAGTTACAGCGCTGAATATTGCATGATTTATGAATGAGCAAAAGAAAAAGGAAAAAAATTTTCTTCTAAAAAAAAAAAGAAATTCGGTAACTAAACATTCCACTATTTTGGCAAAAAAAAAAAATCTAATTGTATTGCAGGTGAATTAGAAAGAAAGAGAAAAAAGTTCAAATTAAATCTTTGAAAAAAATTTTCAAGATATTAATTATTATTAAAGTGATGTGAAATGACGAAGTTTCATTCCCAATTTTATGATTAAATTTTTATGAAAATGAAATTATCGTTTGTACTGAATTACTAAATTTTATGGACTTAAAAGTGAGCAAAGAACTGCACTAAGCTGAATATACCATTAAAATTGCTAAGCAAATCTTTTAGGGATTTATGTTGAGATGAATGAATGAAGTACAGATGATAATAAAAACAAATCATTTATAAAATTAAGCATGTGACTTTATGTTGGATAAAACAATTTCATTTTATATTTCCCTCGAGAACATTTCTTTTCTTTTTTAAATTTGCTTTAAAGATCCTTAAAATGCATAATTGTAGTTTGGACTTGAAAACTTGAATGAGATTAATCGTAAAAAGTAGTAAGAGGGATAATTAAATACAGAAACGTTTCAGATTTGTGTACCAATCATGTACAGCTGCTATTTACCGTATCGGACTCAAAACAATGCTAAAAAATGTTAAATGTAAAATACCTTATATTCACATTCAAATAATGCTAATTCTGAATTCTGAAGAAATCATCAGAATATTCTGTCATTGCTTGATTTAAAAGCAAATGATATAAATAGATATTAGCTAGTGATACTAATTACTGTAGAACAGTGAGAAGGTAGTTTTCTTTTTTAAATCTTAATTAAGTTAACTTAAAATTTGCATTGATAGACTAATAACAAAATGCTAAGCGTTGAAAGATGTTAGTCAAAATCTTAATCCTTTGCAATAACAAATTAAGTTACTGAGAATTTATTTTTCTAAAGGAGCTAATTTCAAAATACCTAATAATTTTTCGCTAATTAATTTAGCCTTATTTGATGAGATATTTGGGATAATTAATTAAAAATTTACAACAGTAAAGGAAGATAAAATATAAAACATCTAACTTTGCATGTCATTTGATAAAATTAGAATTAAATTATAGATTAAAATGGAATCATAGTATAAGAATTAGAATTAAATTATTGTATTTACATTTAGGTACTGATAATATAATTTATACATTTCATGACAAGATTGAATTATCCCTTTTCCCGAATCGTTTTTTGTTCGGGACAAATATTAAATTTGTCGTATCAGTTGTACTTATTCAATGGTTAATTACATTACTGAATAGTTATAAAATAGTTCAGAGTTGCAAAATTTTGCAGTTTCCTGCTGACTAACTTTGATTATTTTCCTTTTCGTCCATGATGAACAGATGCTGATGTTTCCCGGATTCTGAGGGAGACTATTCGGCTGACACATTCAGTGTTGCAAAATGAGTGAGAATGAAATTGATAATACTGTTCGTTGCAGCAATGTTCATAAAATTGGGAGCAGTATCATATATGTAGGATATATGACTCAATGATTGATGATAAAATTTATTGAAATTTCAGAGGTATTTTCTTCCGGTTGGAATAGCTTCTGGATTATGAGCTCTAGGAATGATATCAGGATATATAGAACGCGGGAATGGTGGTGACGAAGAATGAAATGATTAAAGGGAAGCTGCAGCTCCGCCTCAAAAGAAAAATGAAACTGGAACGACCACCCCCAACGGTGTCTTTGAAGTTGCTTCGATGCAGTTTTCCTGACTGTTCCTGCTCTCTTCCTGCAACACGATCATGTAACATTTGATGATAATGTTATGATGATGGTGATGATATGGTGCTGATGATGATGATGATGATAATTATGAGAAGTGATAGTGATGATATAATGACGATGATGATAATGATGGGATGATGATGATTAGTGATGGTGATATGGTGATGATAATGAAGAAGATGATGATGATAGGAGGTGATAGTGGTACATGTTAAATATTCTAATTGAAAGATATAAAGGGAAAAAAATATTCACAGAATAAATATTAAATTGAAAAAAATAATTAAGCTAAGGACCGAGATTCACCTCGATCTATCTATACGTAGCCATATGTAATTACTGTTGCAAATTTGTAGATGCCAATTCTGTTTTTTTTTTTAATAATGCCTTGGCTCTTGTACCTGTTACAGCAAAGCAGGTCGCTGCTATCAATGTTTGAAGAAAATGCACAAAAATTATTGTACAATACACATCTTGAACATCTCAACTAAAACTATCAAATTATTATGCAACTTTACCATAAATTTGCCCTAATTCCTTATCATTTTCAAAGCAAAAATTTCATGTACCAACATCGATTGAATGTGGTATTTTTAGTAGAATTTAACAAAAGGCAGAATAATTTATAATAATAATAATTATTAATTATATGCACAAATAAGAGCAAAAAAATCTGCAAATATCGGAAAATGCTTATTAGTTTCATCCTGTGAAATGATATGATGTGCAGTATTGCATGCAATATTTTAGCATATTTCAGAAATGACAGAATACATCGTAATGTCCTATATTTAAATGGTAAATCCCAAAATAAATTGTTACAATATATAACGGATTTTTTACTCAAAGATATTTATGGTTACAACAATTTTGCATGCTCGTAGATTTATATACATAATATTGCATTACTTTTGCGGGAAAAAAAATATGTAAATGCGTAAATGAATAAATGAATTATAAATTGTATGTAAGTTAAAATGCAAGTGATTTTTTCATGAAAAAATTTTAGTGGAAGTTTTTTTTTTATTGAAAAATTTTTTTTATCAGATATTATGTAGCAGATATGCATGAAAAATGCATGCAAGATTACTTGAATTAACATTGGACAAATAAACGAAAATCAATTATGGATTAAATATGTTATTCCCAGCCAGTTTACTTAATAGCATGTGAATCTATAAATTATGCAAATTTAGTTTAGACAGAGGAGAAAAAAGTAGTGATTTTGGAGAACATCAGGAATTAGTGATAATAAATGTGCGAAAATATCTTTCTTGATTGCTATCTGAATATCATTTATCTCCTTTTCTTCTTTTTATGAAACCTTTTTTGCATCAATAAAACACTATCATCATATATGAATATATTGTATTTTACATTAATTAGTTCAATTTTGAAATAAGATTAACCGTTTGATGAAGAATGAAATTATGCATGATACTTAATCTGATGAAAATTTTAAATTTAAATAATTTTTTTTGCTAAAAAAATTTCGCTATTCCTTTCTAAACAATAGCGACAGATCAAAAAATGGTAGAGAAAGGATCAAAGTTTGAAGTTTTAATAAAATAAAAGTGAAAACATTTTGTCAAAAAGTAATATTAATCATTCGTACTGTTTGATAAATAGTAAATTACATTTCATACCAGTTATCTTTTCTGGAAATCGGAAACATTGCAAAATAATTTGGTTTTGGTTCGTTCTCTCAATAAGTAATTTTACCTGAATTCTTTTGTCCTTCTTAATTTTCATTTTATAAAAATAACTCTGTTTTTGCAGCAGGATCAGACTTATAGAGTGACAATGAGAACCAGAAATTTACAATTTAAAAAATTCAAAGGAATTTGCAAAAATTCCCAAAATTGCTGTACACTTCCATCTCGTTTATGCTTACTTCTGACGATTCGTAAATAAAATTTTGTTGCATTTTTTTTCTTTTATTTCAGTTCATCATAAAATGAATCGTTCTTGTGATTTACAAAATGAATGTTATTTCTTTAATGGACAAGTATTTTGTAGAAAGCGCAATAATGCTTCTGAATGGTCATAAACCATGACGAATGAAATTTTGATTTCGAATCAAGTTGGCATTAATTTCAGTGCCTTGAAACATTTTCGAACGGAAATACCGAACGGTAATGGTTTGATGTAAATGT